GATGAAGTGTTTTGCAGCTGGAAAAGGGGTAATACCAGTGTTGCTGTTGACAGTTTTTGAAAGACTTTCACTGCACTATCGTCCTGGCCATCCATACCAAAATTTTGAATTCAAAACAGGGAAAATGCAGAGAGGGCATTGCCAAAAGAACAGACACCCAAAGTCTGTTCTGTGAGAGGCAGCTTAACAGTTTCACTCCTTTAGCTCCACAAAAGAAAGCTGGGAGTTGCTACGATTGCTCTTGGAAAACATATCCACAAAGTAAATACCACAGAGGAAGGGACAGCACAAAATCAGTTGGTTTTTAACCAGCAAGAGAAAAGTTTGAGGCCGTTTCTCCACCAGCACAGAAGCTGGGTTGTAGAACAAGCTCACCCGAGTGTCAGACACATGTTTTGGTGGACTTAAGGAGCACCGAAGGTCCAGCAGCATGTGGGCACTGTCTCACCCCGTCTGTCTCGGCCTCAGCCTGCTGTCAAACCGTGCTGACTCCATGGTTTCAGCTGGGTTTGAACCACAGCAAAGTTTTTTATCGAATGGCTTGTACTCTCAGTTGTGAAGTTCGTTAATTTTAAATCTCTTTGAAGTGAATAGGAGAGAAGATTCTGACTTTGCTGTCTGAATGGCAAGTACTGGATCAGAAGGACATGGCCCAGCTCTTAGGAAGAAGAAAACTTTGTGTGGTTGGAACTTTAGAAGTTGGCACTAGAAAATCTGATTTTTTTTTTTTGAAAGATAACAGGGGAGAGTGTTCATGTTTAAATTTTCTAGCTTGGGCTTATAGCTAAGCTTTAAACTTGAAAAAATAAAGTAATGTTACACTATATGTGACAAAGGTGCAGTGGTTACAGTGCCATAATTCTGTCGAAAATCTGTTCCAATATGTTAATGGAAATACATATTTTTCCTTGCAATATAGATGTTTTCCATTATCTTTTTTGTTCTCAGTAATCAAGATATGCACACAGTGAAAGCTCTGAGTGAAATGCATGATTAGAGACCACTGAAGATATATATTTCATTTCAGAGAAAAACACAGATAATTAACTATATACTGAGTTCAGTACTGTGTCTAAGAAATGTCTTGTTTTTAATGAGACTATTTCTTACACTACCAGAGACACTCTTGTAGTTTCATTAGTGAAAAAAAACTTCTGAGTGTTAATTATAAGAGCACAGTAATGAAAATATAAGTCACAAAGAAAAGAAAAACGAAAGGGCTGTAACATATAACCAAACTTTCTGCTGTCACCACCTATTCTGCTGAGGTATCAAATACACTGTCATAAGTACTTGTAGAAACACTCAAAAGTTTGCAAAATCATCATTAAAAATTGGAAAATGCCAAAATGTGAGACATTTTACACAGGTGCACTTGTATTCTTCGTGCATCTGCTTTTCATAATCTCTCAGCACTTCTCCCGTGGGACCCTTGCCTTTCTGAGTGCCAAGGGTGAACAGTTCTCCCAAAACGCTGTTCAGCACCTTGTGACACACTTCCCATGCTGTGTGTGGCACCAGCCTTATTTGTTTCTCTCTGTTCAAATCGTCTCAGAAGAGCAATAGTTCCCTCATAGACTTTTCTGTCTCATTTATCACCAGTGTCTCTGAGGGCTTCACCGTGACTAATTAATTTAACTTCCCAAAGTCTTGTGAGATAAGGGTTGGCATTTAATTGAGGCACACAGAGATGAAGGTCAAAAGTATCCTCTAACTTGGAGGTGGGCTGCTGGGGTGCTCTGAACACGGTGTTTAAAACAATAAAGCTTTTAATGTTCAAATTACAAATTAGTCATCTCTGTAGCAATAAATAGTGCTCAACATTTCTGTCAATCAGAACCTGAGCTCAGGACAGATGTCTAGAAAATAACAAATGAATGGCAATGAAAAATTTGGTTAAAGTGCCTCACTTAATGAGAGCAGGACAGGAAACCTTTGACAGTTGCAGAGCCATAATGTGATTTTCTGAGGCAACATTTAACATTTAGAACGTGTTTTCTTTTCCAGCAACTCTCCTGCCTCATTTTCTAAGATCACCACCTCCAAATTCAAGAATGGTCCATTTCTGTGAGAAGATCAAGCAAAGGCAGCAGATCAAGCAAAGGCAGCAGGAGGCCCACACCAGTGGACAACTCAGCCTTAAAGGAGATACATGCAAGGTATGGAAGCAGAGACAGCTGCTTTTTAGAGACTGTTTGCGAAAGCAATAAAGGAATTCAAGAATAATCAGAAAGCCACAATTTTTGTTTTTAAAAGAAGACAGTAAATTTGTAGTTTAAATTATCTCTGAGGTACTGTTTACATGTATACAAATGTATAAATAATAAGTGTTGTGTTGGTGGCAAAAGAAGATTTTTAGGATGTTGGTCAATGGCTGACAAGGGTGAAACCAACTGAAATGTATTTTTAACCAGAGGATAAATCTTGTTTGAAGGCTTTATAAAGGACCCTTATAAATTTAGACCAAAAGCCTGGATTTATTTTATATACTCTAGGCTTCGCTTTGGCTTCTGATCACAAGAAAACTGGTGTAAATCTGGAATATCTCCTTTGAAACCAGCTAAGGTTCTCAGAATTTATGCTCCTAAATCCAAGAAAAGAATTTAACCCAAGGGCCCAAAGCCAGCTTTATCGAGCAGGAGACATTTGGGCTGGCTGCAGGGGGGACAGGCCATGGCAGCTGGACAGTTTTCCTGCCCAAGAAGTGATGTCAGACGAGTCAGTAGATGCCTCTGGGCATTAGACATCATGGGAAATAGCCAGACTCTCTTCTGAATGGGAGCTGCTGGAGTGAGCCAGCTGGCATCTCTTCCAGAAGGCTCAGGGGACGTGGCCACCACCTAAAAGTGCCTTACTGGTTGTTGGACTCTTGTTTCATGGCTGCACTGACTTGCTCTCAATCCTCATTCTTTTTGTAACGTAATATAATTTAATTTATGACCACAAAAAGTGCAACGAGAAAGGGAAAAGATGAAAAATATTATGCTAAATGCAAGCAGTCCCATACTTGAAAATGTAAACATCAAACTATTCCCTAGATATGTAATTACAGGCAGCTTCAAAGAGGGAAAGGCACATTTTTTTTTTGCAAATATATCATATTTTGTATATGCTGCTTTTGCCCAAAAGGCTGTCTGGTTTTCTGCAGGAGCACAGCAAACTGCTTTTAAAGGGATCATCAACCAGAGTTTGTGGCTAATCACTTGGTGATCCCATGAGACACACAGAGGCATGACATGGAACAGGAAATTAAAATACAAAAGCAAATGTTGCACATCTCCAGCAAGCTCCTCTTCCTTTCCCCAGGCACTGAAGGATGATGTACCAACCCACACGTTGGGGTGTGGATAACAGGAGGAGCCTTGCTCTGACACATTCTCCCTTCCCAGCTCTATGAAATCAGTGCTGGAACAAACATCAGGAGGTTACACGTCTGCTCCTACTCCACGGTGTCTAGTACCAGACAGGGAGCCAGAAAGGATGTGCTGGAAGGCTGATTTTATAGCACCAGCTGTGAATAAACACCCTTAACAGGTTCCCATCCCAACCACTGCTGCAGGAACTGCACGGGGCTGCTGTAAATGTCCCCTCCTTTGGCCTGTGCTCTCAGTCAGATCCCACAGTCCTGTGTCTCCAGAGGCACACACGTGGCCCCACGAGCCCCCACATCTCCCTGCACGTGTCTGGACTGCACTGCCAGAGCGAGCCGTCAGTCTTTGACTCATAGGGTGAGTTATCCAAGGTATCCACTGCTCCCACTGGTCCCAGGGGATGCTCCCAAGTGGCCTCTCTCCAGGGAAGCTCCAGTTTTCGCAGCGTGAAGTTTCCTTTCAAACTCCCACTCGTTGCCTCCTTCTAACAGTTTTAATCCTCTCCCATGGGAAGGGAAAAGCATTGTGGATGGTGGGCTGTGAGGACTCCCTGCATCAGTCTCTAAGATCTGTAGCACATCATTTGGAGCAGAGCTGGTCTGGTGTTCAGAGCTCAGGTAGAGGAAAGTAAACAGGAGGGACATGGCTGTTTGCTTGTCCCAGTTTGCTGCCTTGGGCTGTTCCATGTGAGACCCACCTAAAAGCAAGCACTGACGAAAATTTCCCAAATAGATACTCAGGCAATTTTTTAATTATGTCTTTTATTTCCTAAAACATTTTTCACCTCAAATGAAAGAACACAAAAAGCTCAATACCGACTGGGATCTCAAATGTTTGACTTGTGTGTTCTTTCCAAACAGCTCTCACTTTGTGAAACGTGTCAGCCTGCTGGTGAGGAAGAGCAGATCCTTCCTCCACCAGTACTCTTTGTACCAGCTAAAAAGAAACCTTGGTCAAAATATGCCAAGGAAAAGTTCCAATGGGTTCTTTGTGGGTGGAAAGATTATTTTTATAATTTCAATTTAGAAATTGAAATATTTCTTATTTAACATGTCTAAACTCTTTTCCTTAGATAAATGGAGGGGGGATAAAAGCCAAAATGCCAATACAGATATGACAAAAATTTAGCACCAGGATATGCTGAGACCAACTCTCATTTGAGCTCCGTGTTCATCTTCGGACAACAGAAGGGGAGTCACAAACAGAGTCTGAGGATTCCTCTGTGAGTAATTTAAACTCATGTTTAAATCTCCCTTGTCTGTTGTCTGTCCATTTTACCTCTGGCAAGTAGTTCCTGGTGTCCTAATTCCAAAATCTCCAGGCCTCTGTAACAATGTTTGTGTCAAAATGGGCATGAGGTTCTATGTGGCTGCATTTGATTTGTCTGATACTTGAAAGCAAAGGGTTTAACTTAAAACCGGCAAAGCTGTTTCCTTAGATTGTGGAAGAGAAACAATAAAACTTCACTGCTTACATACTGGGAATACCTCCTCAGTCACTACTTTTAAAAGTTAGCCAAGGGAGTTTGTCAAGAATCAAATCCTTGGCATAGCATAGCACTCATCTCTTTTCAATATTTGTTTCTTTAAATGAATGACCCTCATTTTTTCCCCTTTTTTGTAGGCAACCATAGAGCAACACCAACATGTTACATTTCAGATGAGGGAATCAGATTATTTTTTAGTCACCCTAAGACATTTGTTGTGCAAAGGACCTAAAGGTAAGTTTTATAGCAGATGAAATTAGTAACTGCAAAAAAACCACAGGGCTGAAGGGCAGAAAACTGTAGAGGTAATGAATGAAATATTATATTAGAGAATCCAGTGCTAGACATACTAAAAATTCATCTTGCTGAAATACAGATTTTCTTAAAAATATTTAGCATGAATTAATGTAAATCTCTATGTGCAGTTGGCTGAAATCCCTGCACTTTTTACAAGTGCATTGTCATGTAAACAGAAAAACACATGGTATAACAACACTGGAAAATAACCACTTAGAGTAGCACATAAATGTAGATTTCTTCCTTCAACATGACTAAATTTGATGAGACTTCTATGTAATATTTGATATTTATCTACTTCTTTTTGTTGATTGGGGATCAGTTGATTATTTCCCAATAGTCAAATGCTAAGACTCATTAGACAATTAACGAGTTGGAAAATAGGGTCCTCTTTCCTTGTACCACACAGTGTTTGTCTGACAGAGAATTCAACAAATAAATATTTCAAAGCATTTGTGTTGCTCACCAGGTTTTCCAGCCTTTCCTTTATGCTGTGAAGCTACAGGAGCTCAGGGGACTCAACTCAGACAGGGACACTTTTCTGCACCCCCTTAGAAAGGGTGTGGGCTGTACTTCCTTAGTGCCCAGACAAATGGGGAGGTGAGGAGACAAAAAGGGACACTTCTTAAACCACATAAACACAACCAAGTAGGTGCAGTCTGGAGTGTGCATATGGTTTCTTTGAAGTCTAGTTCTAAGGCATTGTTATTACGATGAGTGCAGAGAACTATTCTGAATGAAAACTGTATTAAAAATCGAAAGCCTCCAACATCAGCATCTGCTGCTTGATAAAACACAAAACAGTGATTAAAGTAATGATTGATAACTTGTAACTTCAAAAATGTCATTCCTGAAGATGGAAAAATCAGTGAACGCTCAGTCAATGGCATTACTTCCTATGGCAGCTGTGCTATTGATTTCTAGCCAGCAGTCAAACTGAGGGAAGCAAAGTCAAAGAATCTGTTATCAATATTCTTCCTGAACCTTTATATCATAGTTAGTCTGCCAACTCCAGGGTACACTCCAAAGTTGCATATTTTAATATATATACAATTGTCAAGCTGCACAAACAGCTTTATTTTCTAATGCTCATTTTCCTTTTCTTTAATTGTGAGACTCCTAATCTCTTTTTCACCATCTCACTGAAGGTATAAATTAACTCCTGGGTGAAATTGGAAGAGGTGTAACAGAGAATTTTAATTTTGTTTTGTTTTGTTTTGCTTCCTCAAGAATGAAATTACTTTCAGTAAACAAAGGCATTCTTGATAAAAGATCCTTTGCATTTTTATTTAGGCAAGCGTTGGGGATTGCCTATGTTTGCAATTAAATCCTTATGGATACTCTGCTGGATAAACATGCTTCTCCAAAGAAATGCAATGAGACATCTTGTGTATATTACAGTCAGCTGTGGACAGCATTCCTTTCACTAGTTTTGATTAATATGCCACCGTATCCTGGTAAGATTAATGAACTGTGAAGGATATGTGGACACTGTCTCTTCATTTCAAAGAAGGAGTGTGAAGAATTTAAATAAACATCACATTTGGATGGTCTGTTTTATGAGGATCCAGTTAACTGTTTCTGCCTTTATAAAGCCTGTGGGGGTTTTGCTTGCTTGTTTTATAGGTGGGTTTTGAGGTTGCAAGTTTTAGGCAGTGCTTATATTGATCAAGACCAACTGCAAGCCATTATTTCAACAGGCAATTAAAATTTACCCCAGATTAGCTGATTTAATTTGTATTATCTACCAGGTAGTAGTATGACATTTTAGAGGTGCTTTGAAAAGAAAAATTTATTGTAATATGATTTCTCTGAGAGCTGCTATATAACAGGAGTAAAACAGAAGGCTAAACAAAACAAAAAAACCAACCTGAAGTTGAAAAGAGATAAAGAAAAAAGGCCTGGATGCAGCTGTAGCTTTTCTGTTACATAAAAATCATACAAAAAATTCTAATGTCCATCTATTAATTGTAGTTCTAATACTAAGTTTGTTTTCCACCTGCAATTTTTGGCTTAAGAATTTTCCTGCCATTTGAATCATACACAGTGCGATCTCCAGTAATTACAGTCAAAATTGCCACTGTCAGGCACAGAGAATTAAGTTCATTCAAGGCTAGGAATTGCAATTGTTTCTAATGCTTGTATGTGGCAGAATGTCATAGGCCTACTGATTTTAAAGTTTTGTAAATATGAATGTGCTATTGATTAGAAACATTTTTAACTGTTTGTTTTTTTTTTTAATCTCATTTCTATGGCTTTCTCATTCACTATACTACATGAGTCCCTCTCTGCAGACCTACTTTACATTTTCAAGCATGTAAGCTATGCAAGACTGAAGTATGATGAGGAGCCTGGAGACTGCTCTCCATGTTCCTCTCTGTGACTAGTTGTATAAAATTGACCAATAAGCAAAAATTTCTCATCTCTGTAATAAGTATTCATTGTTCTACATGAGCTGAGCAGGCCCTGGAAGTTTAGTTGTCACTAGAAAAGCTTCCATACCTGAAAAAGCAGCACATCCATATCTGGTTGTAGCTATTCCTTTGGATTGCAGCTTAGGTGGAAAGGTTACTAACTCGGAGATTTAGGGTCCTGAGTTACTCACCTGCCCAGAGCTGGTGGTTGGGGGTCTCACATAGACATATATTTACAGTGTGGGAAGACCAGTCCAAGTGCTTTCCTCCCTAAAAGATGCATCACAAAGTTTTGGTCCACAGATCTAGTTAATCCAGCTCATTCCCAAAGTTCTAGAACAAGCTTCTGGACAAATCTAATTTCTACCAGTTCTGGCAGATCCAGTCGTTCTTGATCAAATATAGCAAACAGCAGAAGGGGAGAGAGCCCCCAGAAACAGGAACAAAGGTGTTCCATGTTCATCAGAGCTTCATTCTCCAGCAATTGATTCAATAGAGCTAAAATCATTTGTTTTACCAGTGTTTTCTTAAATTATTACATTTTAGCTGCATATGATGATCATCAACCAGAAATCACAAAGCACAGATCACAGCCAGGGGAGAGGTTTAAGGTCACCAGGCACAGGAACATTGGTCAATACCATAACTGCAGCCTTCAGATTAAATATGAGATATATTGGTAAATTCCCTTCCCCAACAGTCAGCAACATATAGTCATGGAGTCAGTAGTATAAATATTTTGAAAGCCTGAGGAAACACCTGTCCTGAATTATCTTATACATTTAAAGGTCGGCTCTCTAGGTGGTGGTGTCAAGGTCCTAGAGCAAATCCTTTTTTTGGTCAAAAAGCTGAGAGGAGGAAAGATGGACTTTATCAAACTTAAAATAGCATGGGACTTCCTTTCCTAGGATATTCTCACAGACTTTTTTTTTTTTCTTTTGGTTTTACTAACTTTGTACAAATCCTGCCATGAAAGGGATCTCAGTAGTCAAATTAGAAATTCGTTTGCTATGCACAGTTTTAGGTGAGTTTACCAGAACAGGTTTAAACCTGCCTATTTTCCCCTCGGGCTGGAGAACCCCTGGGCCAGTTTTTTGCTGTTATCTAGAACTTATTTAGCAAAATAGTACATGTATCACTTAGTCACATATGTGAGCACTGCCTGATGGTTCAGAGACAGAGAAGACCTGGGGACTTACTGCACTTGATGCAAAGCTGCCACACTTAAAATTTCACTCAGTTGTTCCATGTACTGATATGTATTAATTGTCACATAAAGCCATCAGTGCAAGTTTGGCTCTTTGAAAAACAAGGACAAAATTCTTGCTAACATCAGCAGAGCTGGGTTTTCAGGCAAAGTGAGTAGAAATCCAATCTAGTGGTGATGCTGATACCCTTGGGGACTGCTCAGGAATAGTGCGAAGAACTCCAAATGGTTGTGCCTAAAAAAAAAAAAATGCTGCTTTCTCTCCTGTGTCTGTCCCACAGTATGTTCTTTGTTATCATCTGTGAATCACCAAACATCCTTTGTGACGTTTATATGGCATAGTTATAAATAACTCTAACACTTGCACATTAAACAGAAGGTGATTTACAAAGTGCTGCTCAATCTGACAGCTGTTACTACAGCATAGTCAGAGTAGATTACTTGCAAGTTTATTTTAATTATAGATAGGCCTACACTGAAATACTACAGTCACCTATTCTGTACCAGGACTGGAAGACAGTGGTAAATAATAGAATGAGATCTGTTTGCCTGTGTGAAAGATAGAGCACCGGTTTTCACGTAGGTAATATGCTTTCAAGTATCAAATTTCTCTTTTCAGAGGGTATCTGATCAAGCGAATCCACACAGAATTGTTTAAACTTCTGTGCAAAATGTATAGAAAATTCAGAAAGACACATTTAAAGTATCAACCTTTACAAGGCAAAATTCACCCATCAGTCTAAGGCCACTGACTGTACTGAAGTACTAGTCCCAGCAAATTTTTCTTTGAGGAAAAGCTATTATCACTGATGAGGAAAGTTCTGCATTTTTCCTATGGAAACAAATAATGAAATTCATCAAAACTCTGTAATTCAATACAGAGATGTAGAAATCGCCTTATGGAAATGAGGAGCTGTCCATAGATCTTGTTTATGAATTTAGCAGGTGAATTGGAAGGACGTGACTCTTTGCTGGGCTTCTCAATGTCAAGAAGACAATTTCCAAAACAACTAACTCAGAGAACACTTATGCAAATCCCATAAAGCCATTACATCACCTGAATGATTCAGAATAAGAATGTTACATGATATGGTTCATAACTCTGACCATGTATAGTGCCAGTTACGAGACCAAGTTTTGAACAGCCTGAATTTTGATCTCTAGGAGATCCTCACTTACAGTAAATACTGGAACTTTTGCAGCAGTCAGAAAAAGTTACATTGTTCTTTCAGGAATATGTAATTGTAATAACCTATCAGAATAATAGGTACTCCAAAAATAGTAATGAAAGACAACTTCAGTATATGCACTGTAATATCTTGCACTCTGGGTTTCCTAAAATAGGTCACTGGCAGAGAATCTCTGGTTCCATATTAAATGGCAAACCTTAATAGAAAGTGCTTCACTTCTCTGAGATGATGTGACCTTCTCACTGAAAATTACTCAATAGTAGTTTCAGATACTATTCTGGGTGACTCTTTATTTGAACAAATTTTGCCATGAAGTAATTCTTACAGTTGAGCAGCATAGCAAGGGTACGTGTATGTTCCGTATTCAAACTTCAGTCTGTAACAAGTGCATTGCAGTAGCTTAACATGTACATGTTAATGTTGTTATGGAAAGCCTTGTCAGTTGTGTCAGCCTCTCAACACCACTGTAGGTGAACTGTTCATCACATGCCCTCTGCTGCTTTGGAGGAATGGTCATTATAAATCACTTTCTGCCCCAGTGTAGGTACAGATGGAATCATTTAATTACTGCTTGCCTGCTCTGGGAATGACCAGCAATGCAGTACAGCTGAGCAATCTTAATCTCTAGTAACCATCTGGAACCCCTAAGACAAACCTTATCTCCTTGCCAAGGGGAGGCAAAAGTTTTGGAAGCCCTTGGGGCACACGGTCTCTCTGAGTTGCCTACAGTTAAAAGCAGCTGACGAAAAAGCCAGTATTGTATGTATTACTTATATTGTATTACTTATGCTTTTTATGAAGATAAGTTGTATTACTTATCCTTTTTATGAAGAGCTGAATGGAATTTTGTGATATAATGTAGCAGCCAAACTTTGGTTTTGGTGAAAACAAACAATCCAATTGAAGGTAACAGCAACTCCAGGAACAAGGAGCTCACTAAAAGCCTAGGCATGATCCTGGATGGGCACAGGATGTCCAAAGAAATGTTGAAAACCACAAGATGGGTGCAAAAGCTTTGGGTTTTAACTCTATATTGTCTAATAGAAGATATAGTTTAGTATTACATGCTCCGATAAACCTCTGGGTTTCTTGGGATCAAAACTGGGTTTTATATGGCACCAAAATCCTGAAGGATCCAAGTATCTCCAAATGAGAGGAAAGCATACCAACACAAATCTGCTCAGATTCACATTTTTAATGCACTATTTTTAGGGTTTTCTGCTCATTGCAGAGAGTTGTAATTCTTTATTTTTAGAACTGTAGCTGTTTTCAGTAAGGTAGCATTAGAGTCCCTCAGTAAAACCACTTGCACTGCTATCAAAGTGGCAATCAAGCCTGATCCCAAGCCCGAAGGAAAGATGTATCTCCATCAGGCTTGAAGGAGTTGCTTTTGAAACCATAGCTAAAAGAACTCCTTTGTGCGTCAAGACTTCTAAATAAAGCTAAACCCTTATTCTGTCTAACACTGAGAAAAATTTTTTTAAGTAATTGTTCAATGAAAGGATGTGGATTTTCAAACTTTATTCTAGAAAATTTGTTTTCACCTGAAAAGCTTAATACAGAACACCTGGAAGCTGCATTGTTCTCTTGACTAGAACTTCACCTCACAGGGCCTGTATTTTTTTTTGCAGCTTGCCATTTCATTTCCTCGGAAACTTCTCTGACACCAGTCTCTTTTACAAGCAGAAACAGGGATTTTCTGGCACTTAGAAGAGAAAGAGCTGAGGTAAGATCTATTTTAATTCATAAATGGAAGATTGGATGAGCCTTTCTTAGACAAAGAATTCCAGTTTAGGTCTGCGTTTAACAAAGCATTTCAAACACACGGGTAACATCAAGTGTTTGAGTCAGGCTGTTGGAATCAAAGGAACTGTGAAGACCTTAAAATGCTGCAAATGTGCATCCAACTCACAAAATATGTGTCTGAAGAATTATTTTATTCTAACATGTCTATGTTTTTGGTAAAAGAGCTCAACTGTATGATTCAAATAATCAGAAAATGTCATACACATATATTTCGGTGTTTTAAACACTGAAAAATTAGAAGATTTCTCCTTATATCTCATCACTATGCCTCTCTCTGTTTATAATTCCCAAAAATAAGTGAACCTTCATAGACCCATTTAGCTGATTTCCCTCTTTTCTATGAAAGCAGATGCATGTAGCTTTACAGGTACAACTCCAGCTGCTTGGTATGCAAGTTAAGACTTGTGTTAGGCAGGTTTATTGCTGTCGATAGATATATGAAAAAGAGCAAGATGCATCCATAAAGGCAGTGGAAACTACAGGAAGTCATACAAGGGGAGATTAAAACCTCCCACCTTGAGCTTTATTTTAGTTTGTTTCATTTTAATGTTGTTGCCTAAAAAAAAAAAGAAAAAAATATTTAAAGGGCTTAACATTTTATTTTTCAAATATTAGAATAGAGCAGTGTGTGTGTGGCACAGGGAGCTTGGTGGAGTAGACAATGGCTCATGGAGTACACGGTGTCTTGACAGGAGTTGATTTGTTTCTGAACAGTTTGTGGTGCCAGGAGGGAAAGGGTCCAGCTCCAAATAAACTTGCCTTTAGAAATTCCTGAGGCATGGACCTTATGCTGGCCATCAGCACAAGACAGCAGTGAATGCCACCTCAGTGCCATTTTTCTTTTTCACACAAAATTTGAGATTAATAGGAGCTTTGTCCAAGTGAAGTACAGCTTCCCTGGTAGATTAAGATCTGCCACCTCTGTTTATGTTGCCTTTTAATTGATCTCTTCTATGTTTAGAAGTTCAAAGACAATTTTGCAGATACTAGCAGGCAGGAGAGAGAGGGAGAGAAAGTATTTAATTTCAAGATCTGGTTGGGTTTTAGGCTATTTTTTTCACTCTCCCCCTACATGATGCAATTACTTTCAAGTTTTCTTTCTTGCTAAAGCACGACATCTGTTAACTGGAGTGACATAATGCACGTGATTAATTGCATCCTGGTCAAACCTTGTGAAATGCTGAGCACCAAAAACCAGTGGAAAGGAAGGATGGTTGGCATTTTCAGGCCTATTCCCTCTATCTTTTCCTAAGCAATTCCTAAGCAAATTGCATCTGTTGGTAGATAGGTAATGGCAACTACAGGGGGTGTTGCTTAGCTTGTTTCGGGGATTTTTTTTAAGGGCTATCGTAAGACCTATCTTGGTCCAAGGCTGGTAGCTTGAAAATATACTGGCACCTTTTCTTTCAGCAAATTGAACTCAGAATTTGGAACTAACCATCATATCAGGAGTTTCCAAGTAATTGATAAATGAGTATCAAACTCCCTTTGCTTGGCAATCAGGAAATGTAGAGGCAATTATTGTCTTTTTAAAGACATAACAATAATGGACTGTTTGCTCATAATTGCAGTGTCAAGGTCATCAGAATCTGAAAGGAAATCATATACAACCTCTGCTCTGCTCTCTTCACTATTATAACTTATTATTTCAAATTTTGAATGTTCCATATATTTCTCTGAGAAACCACTACATCTCTCTGGGAAAAAAAAAAAAAAAAAGATCTCTAAGCCTGATAAGACCTTGAACTGCTTGCAAATCTAATGCTGTATTGGATTATCTTTTTTGTCTCCTTTTTGCTGATTGGAAAGAATCATGTGTTCCTGAATGCCAAGGACAGTTCTGCAAATTTGGCTGTACAAATGAACCAATAACCCCAACCTGTACACTTGTCCTCAGTATAAGAAGAGAATAAAGGGAAAAATAATTCTCTGACCGTGTATGGAGAGACAGGGAGAGAGGAAAAAAGATTTTTTTTTTTTATTTTAAATTGTCTTTGACATTTTCAAATAACTAATACTCAAGGAGAAAAAGCAAAACTATTGCCCTGAAAATAAAATAAAATCCATTTAAATGCCAAATCCTAGTCACAAAACCTTAGTGCTTTGGAGGCTGGACTGCTGACCTTCAGAGAGGCCACGCTGCAGTAACTGGATGTGAGGAGGGAAGGGGCTGGAGCCAGTTGTAGGAGGCACACTGAGCACTGTAGTCACTTCTCTGGGGTGACTGCCAGCCCTGGAGGGCAGTGGAAGACCCACAATACTCCAGTGGAGCAATCTCCCAGCCCCAGCTGCTCCCAGATGGGAGATGTGCTGGCCCTGACTGATTAATTTGGCCTAACGTGCACTCACGCCTTGAGACACTTTACCAGAAAGCCACAACATCTGCACACAAAATTTTTAAGAGACTAAAATTAACTTGGGATCATTTTAGGCTACTGTAATTATACTTTGTTGGTGGAAAACTGCTTGGACTTCCTTTCTGCTTACGTGTGACTCCTTCAGATGATCAAACTGTGCCAGTCAATTAAGCAGGGCTCAGTCTCGGCCGTGGTATCAGCACACCATTGTCACAGTGGTCACAGCTTGCACAGTCCCTGCACATCTGCCATGGGCAGAAGCACCAAGCCACATGTCTGGACATGGCTTGGGGAACAGCACAGGCCACAAACTGCTCTTAATGAGCAGTTTAGATGGTGCCACTCTGTCTGAGGTGTGAGAATAGTTGGCTGTGTGGACATGAGATCAGCCATACCACTGATCTCAAGCCAGCAGATTATTCTCAGTTCATTCTGTTTACTCGTAGAGTTGCAGGCTGAAGAGTTTTGTCTGTGCTGAAAAATTCTACTTTCCTATCTGGGAGCTTGCCTGAATTATCCTGCCTCACTTTCTCTACCCCTTCAAGCCACAGTGAAATCGTGTTTATCGGTTACTGGTTCACGCACTGTCCTTCAGAAACATGAATGTTTTAGCTCTCTTTGTGCAAAGTTCTGCTGCACATTGAGACCCCTCATTCTGTAGCACATGTAGGGTGGTGTTTGCTGTCCCACCGGTGTGCCAGGAGAGGAGAGCACAAACAGCACCACAACATATTTGGGGCATAACTTCCAGTTTTATAATCCCAGAGACCAAGGACTGAAACTCGTATTCGGTGCCCAGGAGAAACACAAATGAAAAAGGTTTCATTCCTGAATTTGAGAGGAAAAAGTTAGGCTGCATTTCTAGGAGTTAAAGCATGGAGAGTATCTTCCCTGTGCATCAGGAAGTTCCACCTTTGAATCAGAATCTTCTGCAGAGTGTGACACAGGGCTGAGCTTTATGGAGATGCTTTTAGTGGGTCAGTAAGAAGAGGGAATCCAGAAGCAGAGAAGTAAAACAAAACAAGTAATATTTCTGGAATCATTCATTTTGATCATGTAAAAAATCTGTTTTTTAAATGGGAAGTGTGGCTCCTCAATATTTTGTTAAGAGCCATTACATGCGTTCATAAATCTGTCACAAATTGATTCTCCTTAATTTAATTTTTAAATTAAATTATTTATGCTTTTTATTTAGCATTGCAAGTAGCAAGTGAAAAATAGATTATATTTAAAAATTCAATTAAAAAAAAACAGTCAAGTGCTTAGTTCTGAAGATTCATGCTTTTATTTTGGAGGAATAGGATTTGGGTTGTTTTAATTGACAAATTCCAGAACTATTCTAATACTACATAAATCTGTCTTCATTTCTTTACATAAGTGCACAGAAAATATTAACTTCCAGTCTGTGTATTGATTCTTTGGCCTGGAAACAACAGATTAATATTTCATATTATTTACTTTATATATATATCGTAATTAAGACTGATATACTAATCAGTCTGCTTCAAATAATCTTCTAAAGTCTCATGAATCCTGCTCACTTTTCTTTCGTAATACTGATATGAAAAAATAATTACATTTCCAAAGCAATATATCTGAATCCACCAGTCATAACACATTTAATAAAAGACAGAAAATCTATGGGCAGGAACATTATTTTCCTTATAATCTGTTATGTTCTTGTTTCCTCCCAGACATGCACAAAGTTAAGTGCAATGCCCAAAGGTTTGATGAAATTTGGCTTTTACCAGAAGATCCAGCTTGAGAACCAAACTCAATTATCCCCAGCTTAGCTTTGTTTGACAAGCTATAGTTTTCTCTCTCTAATCAATGTTAAATTTCAGCTGTTAGACAAGAGCTGAGGCTCCCACAGGTTTGGGATCCTCACCTGCCTTTGCAAATGAGCAGAGTCATGGGGGGGTAACTCCAGTGGGAGCAAAGCCCAAAGGGGTAAAATCCCACCTAGTGCTTTAGCCAGTGAAGTCACTGACAATCAGATGGGTCTGGATGATTACAGTCATTTAGCAAAGGCTGCCTGTGACTTTGAAACATTTCCCTCAAAACAGCCTAATCAGACAGGACACTGGCTGAGAGCCACCGAGAGCTCACTGCACGTATTTCACTAATGCAGTTAAATACTTGTGAGTTTTACAGTATGTCAAATATATGCACCCTGCACTGGAAACATGCCTACTCCAATTCTTCCTTTGTAGGAAATTTCTGTCACAAAACATTGTATTCAGGACTTAAGCTATTGCACGGAGGTTTCCTCACCATAGGAAAATCTGTTGAATATATTTCTGTCACCTTTAATCTTCGTATAATATTGCACAGACCATCTACATTTCCCATGTTGCTGTTACAATGATCATTCAAATAGAAGGTTTTTATTTGTTCTAAAGAATTCTGCTCATCTGACAGACCCTCACACGCTCCAGAAAGTAGATTTCCCTGTGTGTTTGCATAAGGGATGTAGAATAGTACCTGTAGCGTCTAACCTTGCTCCTGATGATAAAGTGAAAAGTTATTACATCAGTGGTGTATAAGCTACATTTGTCACAGG